TTGCATCCAACTGCCCGTGTTTACCTCATCTAAAGTTTGTTTTTCAGCCATCTACTTTAAAGCTATTTTCTTTGCAAAGCCAAAGATGTAGTATGCTGTCTGGAAGATAATACTTTATCTATGCGGTGTGAGAGACCAAGCTGAAGTAAAAGACTTTTGATCCTAAATCAGGGCTTTTGTTACACAGATAAAGGAACTGGTAGTTTGTTTATTACTCTGATGCTATAAGTTCAATAGACACAATTCTCCCTTACTTTATTTTAACATATTGCTCTAAAAAACACCTTAGTTGGCTAAAAACGCCCAATCTATTGCACATCTTTGGCAGCATTTTGTGCATTAAGAACAGTGCTCTTTTCTTCTTCTTTTCTTTTCTTTTCTTTTTTTTTTGTGGGTTTTGCAAGCATCAGGAGGAAAAGGGAAGTCAGAGTATGGATATTACCTGTGTAAGTCTGTCTGCTGCCTGAGTCACAAACACTGGCTGCAAGGACCCACCATCAATACTGGGATCTTCTGTGCCACTTGGGATGATGGAAAAGTGTAAGGAAGGTGGAGTGAGACTGAGGTACAGTGTGCAGGTGAGATGTTGGGGTGGGGATTGTATTTTGAGGAAGTTGCAGTACAATAAGGGAAGAAGTGGCCAATGGACTCAGGACTTTCAAGCTCACTTATAGTTTAATGTGGTTTTAAGAGCTAATGCAACTTCTGTTGGTCCTGTTAGTACTTACCAAGCAAAGATACAAAATTCTAAGCTACTTACTTGTGAGCTTTTATCACTTGCAAGCAAAGTCCTCAAATTTTAATGTCCACGTGGTGAAACAGTTTCTGTTTGCGCGATTAATGCCATCCACAGTCAATGTAATGTCTGACCTCTAACAAATTCTAGAATGTAAGCTTTCCAGCAGCATTTAGTTTAAAAAGCTGCTTTGGCCACCTGTCAGCATTGTACCGCTGTTGCTTAATTTAACAAGAGTTAATTAAGCTGATGGCATATTGATAAATGTGTTAGAAAAACATATACATTGGCAAAATTTTACTGAATTGCGTATTAACTTTGTGCTTCTGTTGTTTGTTGGTTAAAACAAATGTTCAGCCCTTAGTTACCTTCTTTCTGTTACCATTTTCCTGTTGTTTTTTTTTTTCTTTAATATGTTTCTGTGCTTAGAATACTTGTGTATGTGGTTTGGATTGTTGTCTGAAAGCTTTTGATGTCAGTACTGCATTCTTGCTGGTTTCACAGAGTACTGAGTATCCTAAGACCTTTGACTGTTTTTAGAGTCATCACTTTGTAAAAAAAAATCACCTTATAGATTTACCAAAATGTATAGATTTATTTCATAGAGTTACCAAAATGTATGGAAAAAGTTAGCTAGCACATTTTGTCAGAGAACTTGTAAAACCCAAAGGCCTGTTATTTTTCTTGACTGGAGATTTGAGAGGAAGTGGTAGGAGGCCAAAGTATTTGTGGGAGAGATGAAAGTCAGCTCCTGCAGTTCTGGCTGCCTTCTCTAGGACAACTTGAGCTGAGAACCAGGTGCTGCAGCCCTGTGTGATACTGGCTGCCTCCCTTCTTGATGTGTCAGTGTCAGGCCAGATCATAAGAGAAGACTGGAAGTAAGGATCTGTGTCCTCATATGACACTGGGAATCAAGCAGGGTTGGGAATGAAATCCAGGTTGCTGACAGCATGTTTAACGTTTTGGGCATCCTTTTTTCTATCATGGCATTCAGAAGCATAGCAGCAGAAAATTTTAAAATGCATAATGTGATATTTGTCATTAGTGCCTTTGCTTTGTCAGAATGCTAAATTTAATTCAAACCCCAGAAGTTCAGTAGATGTGGAAGTTGGGGCCAGCACAGACTGTAAAACAGTTTGTATTCTACCCAAGGAGCTGATTATACCTATTGGAACAGTTCAGTAAAAGGAGTGCTATAAAAAGCAGTTTTGAAAAACTGAGAGAATACATTTCAGTTTGCATAACATTTCCAGCCTTCATTGTGTATGCTCTATCTTCAAGTAGCTGGAAGGTGTATTAGTGCAGGAAGCATCACTCTTAGCTCAAAAGGAGCACTGCCTTTAAGGAAGCGAGTGTGCCTGCTCAAGGATGGGACACATTTGGCTGCCTTGGTAATGGCAAACATGGTGTTCTTCTCACGTGCAGTTAGTGATGTGATGTGACAGTCAGTTTGTGGCCACAACAAGTTGTCAGTAAAGGAATCCTATCAAAGGTGGGGAGGGTTTGTAACATTTAGTGGATCTGAGAATACTTTAAGATGCAGAGCAGGAATATTTGCTGCAGCTCATTTGCTTCAGATGACAAACCCAAAATTGGATGTGGCCCCTGGTAGCTGTGCTCTCTTTCTAGAGGTGTTGTAGTGTTTGTAATGTGGAATTATAATATTCTTAGAGAAAGTTTGTGCTGCTCTTTAGTGCTTCTATTACATTAACTTTTCTTCTGTGTTTTAAGATACAAGGATTTCACTGCTCTTCACTGTTCTGAAGGATATTTCTCTGCTTCTGAAGTCCCTCAGTTACATTGTATATGAATTATGTTTGATAATGTTTTTTTTAGCATCATCATGCAAAGATTTTCATTTTTCTTAGGACAGAGAAGGCATGTGTCCAGGAGCCTCGTATGACCTTCCCCTGGGATGTAGGAGACCCAGATTTTAATTCTTTTGACCTAGAAGACAAATACAGACATACTAAGTCACATCAGAGACTCATTTTGTATTCATCTCCTGTTGTGTTTCAGACAGGCCAGTAATAGATGAACAAGCTATAAAGAGCTCAAGAATAGAATGGTGCTTCTGTCTTCTGTTTTTTGATGTCTGCATCTTTGTGTTTAGTAGTGTTTGATATACTTTTTGTTACATAAATTCATCTAACGTTAGATCAGATCTGTCATGTCTCAGAAGACAGACTCAACTCCTTTCATAAAACAAAGAGGGAAATACTTATGCAAGGCTGCAGCTGGTGATGTTTCAAGGCTGGTTCCAGGCAGCTTAGCAGCAACCTTTGCCTTTTGGAATGTGCAAAATCTGAGCTCAAGTCTCCTTCACTTCCCTGAGCAGAAGGATTGGAATTGTGCAGAGTAACTAAATGGAGTGTGATGGGTGGTTTCTAAAAGAAGTGACATAACTTAGGAGAGGATTCAAGCTGAAAAGCCTGAAAAACCACAGACACCTTTCTTAAGTTTGAAGACAGGCAAAAACTATGTTTACACCTTCTCCTGACCACTTAGTTTTCTCTGAGCAGCTTGTTCAAAGGTACATTATATGGAGAAGTGAATCCCTATGAGAGCCTAGAACTTGCAGCCAGACATTAATTCAGCTCATTTGGTTTCATTTTCTCTGAAGAGGGTGACAATTGAGTAGGTTCACATATTCTTTCCCACACAGTAAATTCTTTTTTTCTTGATGGTACTGAGGGATTGGCCATGCTTCTAACATAAAATTCAGCTTCACATGTGAACTTCCAACTGCATTGACAGAGCTTACCAGATGAATCCATGCACTTTCCCATAGTGTGTTCACGGACATGTCTGTCCCTATGGCCTGAACCCAAGTGCCTACACAATCTCAGATTCAACAAACACGGCACCACCTTACTCATCCATTGTGGCTGTGTTATGAGGCTGCCTACAGATCATGTAGCATTGTGTGACTCACTGTGTGTGACCACTTTTTTTTTTTTTAATGCTTTGTTTTAATGCTCAGCACAGCTAGAATTAAGCCCTTAATAATGTTTTCATTATTGCTTTCCCAGTAGGACATAGGGTGTCAGCAAATTGCAAAGTAAGCTGCACCAAGAAAGGAATTTTGGAATACTTGCAGAATTTGAAGAGGAGAGACTTGAACCCCTTGGGATTTGCTGCATTTGGGAAGGACTTGCTCATGTTAGCTAAAAGCCTTTCTTCCCCTGCAACACCATTCTCTTCTTTTTGTCACATTAACCTTCCTCCACCATCTCCACAAAATGGCTTTCATGCAATCTGGCATGTCAGCTGTTGCCTTTGTGCATTGTATTGGGGGTGGGATAAAGTGTTGTAAGCTCTTCAGCCCTGGTGCTTTGTAATACATCATGAATGCTGATAGTGCTCTCATTAAGAAAAGAAAAAAAAAAAAGCAACCAAACAAACTCATAATTAACAATAACTAAGCAGATTTGGGAACAGTGAGTTTCCAGAAGCAGTTCCACTTTTAAAGAAAATTTTCTTTCCCTTTTTAAAGCTGTTCAACTTAGTATTTTCATTATAGAAAACTGGATTGTTAGGAAACAGACTTGTGTAGATATTAGTATTACATGTTTTATCTTCAAAAAGCCAGTTAGTGTTTGGAGGGAAGTTAATCTGCCTCACAAGTATAATTCACAAGCCTTGTGTTAGAAGTAGCAGCAAGCAACCACACCACAGAACTGTATCTTAAGAATGAGAAGTACTGGCCTGCTTCTGTACATCTGTCCTTCGTGTTTCTATTTTGAGAGGCTTTTTCCACTAACCCAGTGTGTCAGTATGAATGCCGTGCAGAGAGTACCATCCACTGCAGCAGAGCTCCTTCAGGGAGAGAGCTTAATCAACCCTGAGGTGATTTCTTAAACAGGGAAAGTGACAGACTATGGAAATGAAATAAAGATGTGAAATTTTTGAAAACAGGAATGTGAGACCATCTCCTGGAGAGGAGCAGTTCTATTACACACCATAAGGCATAAACAGAATTCTGCTTCACATTGTGTGGCATAAATAGAACATCCATCCTGACCTCCCTTACTGCAGTGAGTACTTGGAAAATCAAACTCGGGTGGACTCTCTAAATTAGAACAACAACAGAAAGCATAATGAAGCACCAGTGATGTAAAAATTAACATTTTACAGCTCTGGCTGTAATTAGCAAACTGTCATACTGCATTATCGTTTAGAAGCAGAAGGGAGGAAATAGAGAAGTGAATGCCAGAGAGCTGAAAACTGAAGTTACCTCTGAATGTCTGTTTTTCATTGACAGGTTGATGACGCCGGGCAGTGAGATTCGATTTGTCCATAAGCACATGGGCCTGGTGCCAGGCTGGGGAGGAGCTGCCAGGCTGGTGCGAATCGTTGGCAGTAGAGCTGCCCTCCAGCTGCTGAGTGGGGCTCATGGGGTGGACCCTGAGAGAGCACTGCATCTTGGGCTGTCAGAGGGGACCTTGTCTTCTTCAGATGAAACTGGATCACTAGAAGAAGCTCGAGCCTGGCTGAGTCAGTATACAGAGGGTCCAGCTAGTGTGATTCGAGCTGTGAAAAAGGTGGTCACAGCTGGAAGAGAACTGCCGCTGGAAGCTGCCTTAAGGACAGAGAAGGATGTTTTTGGAACTGTGTGGGGTGGGCCTGCCAATTTGGAGGCATTGGCTAGAAGACAAAAGCATAAATGATGGTCAATATATAATAAATATTCTTGATATTTTACACATGAATCTTTCACCAAAGCAGATAATAGATTGAATTGTTTAGTGCCAGTTTAAAGGAACAAGCTCTTAACATTCCTATCATTCATGTCTGGCAGACATATTTGGTGTGCAACCACACAGTAATCCCCAGAAGATCCCTTACTGTTTTAATCACTCGCTGAATGGAGATTAGTGAAATTTGTATGTAAAGGTAAATACTGTGCTTAGAATAGAATCTAATTATTTTGGAATGAGGCTGAAGATTATTTTCTTTGGAGTAATTTTGTTTTTTCTAACTGGTATAGAAATGAACTGTGTGAGAGATGAGAGGGTTTCTTTATTTACAGAACAGGTGTGCCCAAAGCTCTAAAAGCTGAAGTCCCCAAAACGTGGCCAGCGCCTTAAAGCAACTTTGAAGCTTTGATAACTGGTGAGAGTATCGTTTTTTCATCTTCAGTCAGTTCTTGGTGTAATTGTTCAGAAAGTATACAAGATCTTCAGTCAGTTTTTGGTATAATAGTTCAGAAAGTATACAAGGATTGTTACTTTTTAGTTTGGTTTTTTTTTTAGAGAAATAGTTCTAACTCACTGAAGACTTGTAGACTTTATTTGCTGTTGTGGAACCAGATCTTTAAGTGCATGTAGGTATCTACTCACAGCTTTGGAAACCAGCTACCAACATCTGCATCTGTGCATTCCCACAGCCTTGGGTCTGTGATGCTGGGCCCGTGCAAAGCTGCTGACATCATTTTTCACTTTGAATCTTCTTGAAATTTTAGAAGATTATGGTGTGTAATGCTCCCAAATAAGATTTCTTTTTAGCGAGATGCTCTCAGTACTTCAGCATTCATGAGAAACATGTCTGGAAAGACTTGTTTTCCTTTTACTAGTAGTACATATTTGGGTTGTGAGAGACCGCATCACCTGGAACTCAATAACCATGTGTATGGGAACTGTTTAGATCACAGCCTGAACCAGTGATTGAGCACCTGGTGAAGGGACATAGCCAGCTTCCTGGCTATGGTGGAAGCAATTCACTAATGCAACCAGAAGGAGTGAACCCAGGGTGTGCCACTCCCTAAGCCCATTTAAGGGCTCGCATCAAAAGGGGAGCATCTCTACTTGAAGATCATCTCCTTTGGGAGTTTCTGGGGAACCCTGATCTTTGGAAAAGGGGTAAGCTATTCCTTCTTTATTACGGATTGTGACCATTACCTTTCTTAGGTGCTTTAAAACTGGTGAAAGGCAACTATATCAACTTCACCTTTCTTACACCATGCTAGTGACTGTGTGCATTATTAGATAACTCAGCAGAGAGAGTTTTTCCTTTAGGAATTAGAAACTGAGACAGAGTTCCTGCTTTGGCTGATGATTCTGAATTTAGAGTGCAACATCTGTGAGAGCAGAAATGTACAGGCATATCCATAACTGAGAACTTCCTGTACAGCTGATTACCTTGTCTCTCAATCCAGCAATGATGAGGGCTGGACCTGGGACCCATGTACCCCAGGAGGTTATGGAGGAAACTCTAGGCTATTTGGCATGGATGTGCATTATTGCTCTCACTAAGCATAACTAACTAGGTGCATGGTCCAAAGTTTCTTAGGAAAAGGAAGTGATTCCTTGTATGAAAATCCATGTTATGATTTTCACAGTGTGGCAGGACTACCATTTTTGAGATGATGAGGTAACTGTATGTAGGTTCAGAGATTTGGGGACAGATCAGTGACAGGAATCAGACTAGGTGGCCTGCTAAGATTCTGTAGCTTTTGAGTATATGCTACATTCTGCTGAGTATTTTATTATATGGCTTGGGTGTGTGTGTGTAGCCTAAAGCAACCAAAAGAAAAGAAATGCTGAAGAAAGGATCTGTTTTGAGCTGGCACCTTGCAGAAGATAAGCAACTTTGCCCTCTTGATCCTTCCTTTTTGCCTTTGCATGTTGTACTACTTTTGGAGGAAGATCTCACATCTCTCTGTCCTAAAAATAATGTTTGTAATTTTTACTTCCGAGTTAGAGATGGGAATAGGAACACAGGGAGAGGGTATTGTCTATTGTGTTTTCCCTCTTCCCCTTTTTTCATCTAGCTGCTCACTGTTTGATAGCCCTGTGCTGCTGAGTGTTATACTCTAAAGGGTTTCAACCCCATGACTTAAGAAATAAGGATGCTTTAATATAGTAAAGGAATACTTGATTCATTTGTAATGAAGTTGATGTGCTTTTCATGAAGTTTCTCAATCCCTGAGGGATTCCACATTGCCCATGTGTCTGTACCTTCAAAGCATGCTCCAGTCCATGTTCCCCCAAGCCCAACTCAACTTTGTGAAGCAATAGCACCTCACATTGTCAGTCAAAAAAATGTGATTTCTATGGCAAGTTAGTAGGCCTCTGCTAGCAACAATTTGCCGAATTTGCTGTTGCTAATATTGTGTGTTTTTTTTAATGGCTGTGAATATTTGAACCTAAAAAAGGCCACTGGTATCTTTTTTTTAATCCAAGTGCTATAAGGCCCAGTATATATTCTGTGAGCTGAGTGATACAATTAGGTAGGAAAGTGCAGCGGAAATGCTGCATCTGTTTTATGTGTACAGTTTGAACTAGACCTGTGCTGTCAGTAAGTGAAACTAGGTATGTATGTGAATCCTGTATGTACAAGAGTCCTCTTTCCAGTTTGATTTGTAGGCATGGACCTTCTTGTTTCGGCACATGCCTTTCTCCAGCAATCCCCAGTGTTTGTTTCTAAGAATAGGACAAGTAATTAACTGGTGCTAGAACAGCCAAGACACCTTCAGAAGAGGTTACAGGAAACTCATTTTTGCCCTCTCAGTTGGAATCGCAAATAGACCAAACACTACTGTAAGAGATTCTCATAATTATAGGTGTTTGCTTTGATCAAAGACTTGGTGCACAGTCTAATACTGTATTATTCTTCTTCTTTTTAAAAATAAGTACAGTCCTTACTATGAAAACCAGCCTAACTAAATTACTGTGAGTGCTATCATGAGGGCAACAGACTGAGATGAAATGGAATCCCATTTTAGAAATTTCAAACCTAAGTGGTCAATTTCAGAGCATTTGCCTGTCATCCTGAAGTGCCAAATACCTGTAACCAGCAGCTAATAGGCATTTATATCTTCTTTAATTTTATTAAAGACTATATGCTGCTTTTCCTTTAGAAATGATCTAAAACTGAACAAGCACCAAATGCACAAAATGAATTAGAAACCCAATTCAGAATTGATCCTCCCTGGTCTCCTAATTAAAAGGAGTACTAGCTTTTGTATTTGCTAGGGGCTGATTTGCTACCTCTCTCCTCGGCAAACAAGGTTTTCTATTCCATTGTGAAATGCCTATCTTATTTCTTGCCTCTGTGTATTGGGACACTCTTGAGTACTTAAACTGCATGGATTCGTAGCTGAGAGCCTGAATGCTGTCACACTGCGAATCACTTCTAGCAATACTGATACTTCCCCATATTTGCTGCTACGCAACCTTTGGCAGGAATATACTTACCAAATCAACAGCCCAGGTAAGCCAGGTGTTCCCCTTGCTTATAAAGAAAAATATATGCAGTGTAGCTGTAGCTTCCTACTGAAGGTAACAGTTTAAATATAACGTGGGAATTACTGGTTGCTACTTCTTCCTAGCGTGATCTGGGAGAGGGTTTGCCACTCTGATGATTAGCTGTTAAGCTCCCATCAATCTTACTTAAATTTTAGTAATTCACAGCTGCAGTCAACCCTGGGAAGCCAAAAGCAGTATTGATGGGTGTTTGGCCTGAACAGAAGTTTGTTTCTGCTTTGGCCAAAAACCTTAGTGGATAATCACTGATAAAATTCACTGTGTTTGTATACTTTTTTTTTTTTTGTACTGAAATTCCTCAAATAAAGTATATAGCAGGTCCTGTACTTTGCATCTTGCTTTAACAGGGCATGACCTTGCCCTAAGTGAAATGCATGCAAATACTGGAAGCATTCTTACTGTTTTACAGCACAAAGTTAGACTCTGATTAGAGCTAGTGTATGGTAACTCAAAACAAAAAGGTGACAGCTAACAAATGAAAGTAAAAAGCACTCCAAATTCTTTCCTTCCAAAGGTCACATTCCTGGCTTAGCCCTTTATGGAACTGGAAAGTGGAAATCTGTGACCAAGACTATCCCTTCCTAGCTGAGAAAGCAAGAAATACTCTTTCATCTGTCTCAGTCTCCTGTGCAGTTTCCTTCATTCACTGACCCACAGTCTCACCTGTGGGCAGAGAAATCAGAAATGGATACAGTTTTGCCCAAGAAAATGCATATCAGCCTTTGCTACTTTAAGAAGGCTTTAGAAATTTAAATATACCATTCTTAAAAACCAGCCCGTTTAATTCTCTTCAAGTGATTGTATACCTACAGCACCTTTTTGTTTGATGGATGGAAATACTTAAAAATCAGCTATCAGCCCTTTCTATTCAGGGCTACATGCACCAAGAACTAGAGTTTAAATTGCTTTATCTTAAAGGCAATGAACAAATGTTTTTGAAAAAAATGAGAAACAACTGCTATAATAACAAATTGTACTTAAGATCTGGATTGTAGACTTTTCTAATAATCACTCTGTAGTAACAGGGGCCAATTTGTGAGTGCATTTCAAATACAAGTCCCAAATTATCTGATTCCTGCAGTTATGAGCTTTGCTATGAAGAACAGATAATAGCAATCTAGTCCTTAACATTTCTTCTGTACTTTAGGGTCAAGTATGATTATTTTTGCTCTTTTATTTCAACACTTGTGCTGCTAATAAGACTGTGTGATACTTTTTCCCACAACAACAGTGAAGTGAGTTGGTCAGCACTTGAGAAGTGTGAAGCCTGTGTTAGCAGTAAGCCTGTTACTTGTGATTTTTTTTCATAAGAAAGACGTACTCCTCCTAGATCAGTGTTCTGGTTGAAATAGTCAGGAGCATAAGATGCCACTCTAAACCAATCCTTGCTTTTGGTGAATACAGGAAGCTGTTTTATGATAGTTTTTTTTTTAAAGTTCCTCCACTTAAGTTCAATTAAATTGGAGACATATCTAAGATGGTTACTGATAAAATGTAGTTTTTATTAAATTATAAATTCCGTAACAAAAATGAGACAGATCAAGAAAGACCTCAAAAACAGAACTACAAGGACTAGATGGCAAAGCCGATGAAAATGCCATGAAGTGTATAGGTAAGAATTTGCAACAAAAGTTAACAGCATTTTTATATTTCCACTGACGGAAGGTAAATGCTTGCGCTTTGTCTAGTAAAAACACATTTTAACTCCAAACTCACATCTATTTTTCTCACATTAAATTAAGCATCCCGTTCACACCCAACGCCTTGTCTGCTGCCACGTTGCTTTAGTGTTCTTTTCATACATCGATCCATGCAGAAAGTAGTAAGACACTTAATGCAACAATCAGATAATGAAGACAATTCAAGTTGTACAGTAGATATACATTGGCCAAAAAGGGATAGAGTATCTTCAAGGGCAAAATGCTACAAAATAAACACAAGACATTTTCAAGAAAACCGGGTATTGCTAAGCAGCTTTCAAACCATTAACAGGACAACCCAGTTTCTTACAGTTAGTCTTCCAGCTAAGACATGTTAAAAGACTTAAGTTAGGCCAAATCTGCTTCTTCCCTTCACCCCACCCTCCCACCAAACACACTGCTAGGTTTGAGTGCAATGCCAATGTGGACAGAAAATTTACAGATAGGAGACTGAGTTTTTAAATTGCATGGCTCCGGATTTACACTTCAGTGACTGTGCACTGTCCATCTGGCCTCCTAGATCTTACGCTTGCATTTGTCACCCCTCCCCCTGCCACTGTTCTATCTGCTCCAGACTGGTTTGCGTTTGCATTCAAGTGTCTCTGCTGGGCAGAGGATGGGTGTTGCTGGAGGGGAGCCGACACATCCTCGCTATCGCTGCTAGCATCCGATTCAGTCTCCTCCACAGAGGTGTCAGGGGCTGGCACCCTGCCAGAAGATGATGATTCGTGGTCCTCCTCTCCCTCTCCCCTATGACTCCTTTCAGCCATACTGTCTCCATTTATTTGTAAGTGGGCAAAAGAGTTCTCCAGAGAAGTGCTTGCATCAGGAGAGGGTGTCGAAGGACTCATAAGCTGACCATCCAGTGATGGCAGGGGCCTAGCAGAAACAGGCACCAGAGGCTGTACAGCTGCAGCCCCCCCAGTCAGTGTGCTGTCTGCACCATCAGCAGAGCTCTCTCGTGCCAGGTTGACACTGTTAGTGTCACAGTCCAACCTAAGCCCAGCCACTCCCTTCTTTGGTATATCTATTATGTCCCGTTTTATTTTTCTGCGCCGTCCATGCTCATTTCTCCTATACTGAACCATGTTTTCCAGATCTGCTATGTACAAAAACCCAGCAATTAGCATTTCAGTGCTCTTTTTACCCTTGGAAAAGGCATCTTCCAGCTCCCTGCTGGTACGTTCATCATACTGCCACCAACCATTTCTCCCCTCATAGTACCAAGCGTATTCTCCATTGCCTCTGCTCGCTGCTTTGAGTTCTTCTGGTGATAATAGGGTTGGCTTGTCAAGAAAATCCTCTGGGATCTCCTGCCGGCAGAGCGCACAACGTTTCCCAAGCCAAGAAGCTCCCTTGACACACAGATAGCAGAACACGTGTTTACAAGGCAGACTTACTGGATGGACACACGTTTGCAGACAGATAGCACATTCAGGGACTGTCAGGGAAGGTGCAGCATTAGCACACGACTCATTTGTCTTCCTGTTTGTGGGAAGCATGTTGATTGAATGATCTATTTCACCACAGCCAGCCATCCTGCAGAAGATCAAAGAGAGGTTTAAGTCAGTTTATTGTGTCAACCTAAACTAGTACCTTTACTTAGTCCACATAATGAGATGTTTGCCTTAGATTAAGGTAAGATATCATTTATGAAGCTCAACTTCTGCAGAAACTGACAGGTTAACATTCTGTTTCCTCAGTCAACAGACTAAGCTGAATTTAGGGAGAATTTCTTTTGTAATTACTAAGCTTTAATTTTGTTTCATTTTTAGTAAAATACCATGCCAAGCTTTGAAATTTCCTCGGTCCTGTTCTTGAAGCAGTACTGATTGATGAACTTCATGCAGCCTAAAGGTACTACAAAATGTCCAGCTGTTTTGGAACATCCTCAGAAAATTTAGAGAAGCTATAATTCTTTTCCCAAGGGAGTAACCTAACCACAGAACCATCTATTTTCACAGTACTGGTGTTCATCAGTTTGATTTGCAGATTGTTGGAACAGTCCTTCAGAGTAGGGTCCCATAGTACAAAACGCACTTGGCAGAAGCACCACTGTATTCCCACTCTGTTGGTTAGTCACCATACACCCCAGTGTACCATTCGTCAGACTGGCTTGCAACAGCCACAGAGCAACAGAAAGAACTGGATTTGAAAACTGAAGTGACTTTTTCAAAAGGTATCTTGGATTTCTTATTCCCAAAGAGCAGGTGAACTCACTGATTTACCTCAAAAGGAATTGTTCCAGCCCAGCAGAAGGGGTAGTTCATCACAGGAGATGAAACACACAGCCAGAATCTGATCAGTTTGTGAACTTCCTTCTCTGGTCATGCCTTACTTCTGTCATTAAAGATGATTTTTCTAACCAATTGTATGAAAAGTGAGGATAAGACCAAAGAATGCATAACTGTGCTGCTCTGTCATTTTATAGCAGTTCAGTAGGTGAAATACTCTAGCCTTAACATGCAAAAAACTGCTTAGAGATGTTTTAGCCAGGCCCATTTTTTTACACATTGTTTCATGATAATTTTCCCTTTCTATTCTTAAATATTAGCAATCAAAACAAAACAGCAAATATCAAATGAGGGAGGAGAATAGACTTTGGGAAATGGGGCCTGAAAAGGTACCTTTTCCATATTAAATCTCCAAGGAATTTGGTAGAATAGGGCTCATATTTGGCAAAATAGCCTTCCGGTAAAACTAGTCTTTGCTGTACAAACAATTGAGAATGGTTAAACCAAAATGATCACAGAATCACAGAAAGGTGGGGTCGGAAGGGACCGTCAGAGGTGATGCAGTCCCATCTCCTGCTACACATGATCCAACCAACAGTTCTAGATCTGGTCAGTCATAGCTTTTTCTAGATAAGTTTTTTGAAACCTGCAAAGATAGTTGTATCACAGTCTGCCTGGGCAGCCTGTTCCAATGTTAGACACACTTCTAGCAAGACACACTACCTCAGGAGTAAATCTCCAGTGTTAACTGTAAAAGCCTTGTTGCTTTACACAAATATATGCTAGGCTATTAAAAAAAATACATTATTATAAATATAAATACAGAAGCACATATAAGTGCTTTTTACTTAAAATGTCTCTCTCTATACTGTTTCCTTCTATCACTGTAATTTCCTTTCGAAAGTCCAATGCTTTTTCCTAATCCAATTATTTTAATCAATTTTAAAAGCTCTACAGCTCATATTTTTCCTGAAGTAGCACATAATTGTGTCCATCTATGTTTCAGTTTTGTATTTAAATTTTTCTCTGAGATTAAACCCTAATCCATGCACTAGTTCTTCACTCAGCATGCCAGCTGCAGACATGGCTCTACCACCTGTTAATTGTCTTTATTGTACAGTACATATTTGGGTGCAAGATCCATGCTAGCACTATTGAGAATGAGTTGCTTTCTGACAGCATCACACATTTCAAACAAAACTTTACACCAAAACTAGTTTTTTGTTTTGTTTTGTTTTTGCAATGAGAAACTTATTAGAAAAAGGAAGGAAGAGAAGCTATTCAGATTTCAGAGTACCCATGGAAACAATTCGATCAGTATCTCACAACAAAAGAGCTGAAAGAGAAATCCATGTATCGATTGGTTTCTGTCAACCACGGCTGAGGAATAAAGATCTGAATTTTCAAATGTTCCCGTAATGACATATTACTGTGAGAAAAGGCACAGCAGCTGAGATTTGTTTCCACGCTGCAGTTTTACAAAAGGCTTTCTTCCCCTAAATACATTTTACAAGCTTATCCTCTTCAATTAAAAGAGAAACAACCAGAAGATTAGTAACCACCATATAAACTATGTATCATAATTAAGAATTCGCAAACTGCTGAGATTAAAAATTAGTTCATAAGTTAACTCAAATAAACTAAAAGCAGAGAGAGTTCTCACCTGTTTACTGCACAATTCTTTAACACCTGAACTGTGTTCAACTGGTCACCTATTAATCTGGGAGTTCTCTGATTCTTTAACAGATCAAAACCTTAACACAACACAGCACATGAATGTAAAGAAAAGATAAATGTCTTATCTTTAAAGTCCTTAGTGATTTTAATGACTTGGAAGAAAACGCTGTGTGTAAAATTAATACAGCTAAGGAATAACCCTTTATCTCTAAGCAAGCACTACCCAGCAACGTAAACTCTTAATAAGAGATAAGCACAACTGCAGTTGCATGTGCTCAGAATGCAGGACAATTATGCATCTAAAGATTTAGATCAACTAAACTGAGGCTGTCTCCTTTTTGTTTCTAAAGAAGGATCCTAATTAATCCTTTATTGTTAATCTATTTAAGTATCAGACCTAGTTCACAGTTGGTTTATAAGCAAGTGTGATGACACATATGTAGATTTCTAACAAACAAGTACCCCTTTAGAAAGGAGGAAAAACATCTAGGGCTGCTATTCTGCTAAGCTATGACTATGGAAGCACTTTCTTCCAGCTTTGTGATATTAGTAACTAAATACAACTGAGTACAGACTACTTTCCCTGAAATTAACTTTAGAACAAGACTTAACCAAAAAAAGGCTTCCTATTAAAATGGTTTTCAAATGCTAAAGTTCTGCCTTTTTGAAAGTTGAGTTCCTTTAATCATTTTGGGAAGCAGGGAAAATTACATCATTGAATAAATTAAATCAAACTCATCAACACTTTCTAAAAATAAGTATTTTGATAAGCAGTTCAGGTATAAAAAAAGTGAGCAACAAGCACTTGAACACTACATTTTAACATAAATACAGCCCAAAGCAAACTGAGAAGAAACTGGTTTACAGTCTTGCCAGATCTCGCATCCTCTCCCTCTTGCCTCTATTATCTTTTTCTTTCAAATGAATATTTAAAACTACGTTTCACTGGGTAAGCTTAGGGTGCCTTCAGCAACACACAAAGTATGCTGCTGTGGACCAGGTAATGTATAGGGGATGTATGAGAATTCCACTGGCCTACTGGGACTCTGTCAGAAAAAAAAGTAAATTCCCATAAAACCACTCAAATACAGAGTAATTTTTCAGGTTCCAGGTCAAATTCTAACTGCAAGCAGGCAGTCCGTCAAGGAGCTGGCACATTTGAGTCCATTCATAAAAAGCAGCTTACTTCTTCTGAGTAATATCTACTGGAGCATGCCACAGGACTAAGATGTCCTCTCTTCAGATGTCTCCACCTAGGATGGCAGGTCCTCCTTCCAAAGGCTGGCTCATTCCTGACTTGTTCTGCCCAATGGTACACTACTGTTTCAGCTTCTTTGCACACTACTGGAAAGCAAAAGTATCACCGTTACAACAGTGTTGTACAGAGGTATGAGCAAGCAAAATACACCACCACTGTCCTGTTACAGGAATGGAATTACTATCCTTTCATTTACCTGACAAAGCCTATTTTCAATGTACAGAAATATCACCATCAGACTTAGTTGTATTTTTTGCAATTATCAATTTTGGCCCACAGTTTGACGTCAATTATTTTGACGTTTTAATTTACACAAGTTATCATTTCCTAAAGTATTACAAAAGGCAATTATCTTTAGCTATATTAAGTCAGTGCCTCGTTTCCATAAAGTAACTATGTACACAAAAGGAGAAATGAGATCAAAGATAGGAGTATGTTATGTTAATGCAAATTTAATTTCTAGTATATGACTTCTTCCATTCTGGAAGTTTAGAATGTAACAACAGCTACCCAAATCCATATGCAGAAAAAACACTTCATACCACATTATCCCAAAGGACCATCTATCTAGTCTTGTATCTTGTCTCTAAAAAGGCAGGTGTTTGAGGAGAAAACAGTGCATGTGAACATGGGACATTCCCTAGGCACTCTCCACAGTTCAAGCAGTCTGTTGACTAAGGCCTTCCTTATAACATTTGCTCAAGGAAAGAATCATTTCAGCATAAATGCAGTGCATATCAGACTTACGTACAGACCAGGGAGAATGGAGGAGCAATAACTCCCTGACAGAACATGGAACATTTTGCATTATAGTCTTCTGTGTCACAGTCTATCCAACGATTGAACACTTATCATTAATAACATTGGAATGAAATGTTCAGATGACTTCTAAGACACATTACTCAAACATTATTTTCTTTACAGCTGAGCTTCACGTGGCATTCAGTGCAGCTATTTTTAGAGACCGTTCCTAAGGAAAAAAATGCAAAAATTAACGTGCCTATCCATTTGTCCTAGCACCTTTTCAAAAGACAGATCTCCCCTCACCATTTCTTTACACATCAATCTGGAGAGCTGCAATCACATTAAAATTCTGGCTCTACTAATCCGCTCAGACGAGATATGGTGTTTGCTATGATCAAAGAGACAGCTGCAACAAGCTCAGTGCTGTGAATGTGGCGTTCAGTCCTTCATCTTAGGGCTGGCTTTCTATGGTACATCTGTGGGCTTCACTCGAAGTCTTTTATCTCTTACCTCTTGCAATCCGCTATCAGAGGTAGCGCATTGTGAGACCAAATATTATGTGGAGATGGGAGAAGGAGGTTGGGTCATTTCTGACAGATTTCTCAGGGAAAAAATGTGTGCACATATTTAATGTATGTAATTATACCTAGAAGAATCCAATTAGGGCATAATTATAGGATTATGGCACAGCAACTTCATAATTGCTGCACAGCTATTAAAAAGAACTAGTCCACATACTGACTTCAGGTAACCTCCATGCTTCATTACATTGTTATTTAATAAGCCAGTCCTGGAAATTTTACTAAACGGGATAAAAGATGCTTGTGGTTATACACACACCCCTTCCTGGACTCCTGCTCCTTTGAAGTAAAGTGGCTGAGAGCTGTGTTCTATACATAGCAATTAACTTCCTACGCCAGAAGAGCATCTCATACAAGGAGTTACACTATCTGTGGCAACCAGCGAGCGTCCCTTCCTCCTGTGCAGTCACCAATCCCATGAAGCCTATTGCACACTGACTCTGAAACACAGCCCACAACAGATGAAGGACAATTCCACTCACTTGGAATAGGAATTTAAACTTGGCATCACCAGCTGGGCAACAACTGGTCCCACACTGCGGCTCAGCCAGCGTTAACAGCCCCTTGTTTCCTTGGAAGGCTGTCAGGACGCCTGCTGGGGGACCTTGTGCCAGTTTCTTCCACACCATGTTAGGATGCTGAAGCGATGTTCCTCCTAGCAGACCTGTCATCCAAAAATGGCTTCTTTGATAAAAGCATCAAGCTTTTACTAAGCCAAGATGGAGTGAAACCATCTCTTGTCAGATCAGTCGGCTGCTGCCTATCAAATTCCCAGTAGCCTATCATAGCCAGGACAATTTTTTCCACTTTTCTACTATTTCGGAGACATGACTGACATGAGTGGAGGAAAAATAGCAACAACAAACATATTTCCAGAAACTTACATAAGAAGCCAGATCCTAAATGTAAGTGCAGTGTTTGTTACTGACAGCCCTAGGAAATCTTTGTAAATAAAGTTTAGCTTTTTAGAAATAAAAAACAAAAATACCGCTGGTAAATTCAACTAAAGCCAGCTTCTCACTTGCTGAAGGCTACCACTTAAACCTTGCCTCAAATGAAAGGTGATCTCACAAGTTCTGCAACACCAGACAGACCACTTTACAACAGTTACCACAAACTCATCTTTTGTCTGCCAGAGGCTGAAAATTGAACAGGTGCAGCACTACAAAAGAAATGATAATGGGTAGATATTCTTCTGTGATTCAATGCTTGACTGTTACCATCAGGCTCCCTAACATATATCTCAGTTACTGAGGAGGTGGGGTGGGGGAAGGTAGAAGCAGGGAAAAAAGGACTCTCCCTATGGGACAGCATGAGCTAAATACTGGGAAAGCAAGGAAGGATGGTGGTGGTTGCTTTTTGCTGATGGTGTTCTGTTTAATAAGGGAGAAAAAAATAATAATTAAAAAAAATTGCTCTCCCACCTGTAGGCCTATTATCATCAATACTGTATCAGCTAAAGGTATGGAACCTATCTGGTGTTTTTGTAACTTCCAGCAAGTATTGGACCGCACAGCGGGTAAATAACCTCACTGCCTTCTCTCTCTCTCTCTTAAACTTAGAATACTTTCAGAAATCACTGATGTGATAAGGCTTCAAATTCCCCGTCATTCCTTATACAGCATTACTACACTTTAATTTAAAAAAGCTTGTATATTAATTCTGATCTGAGTTACAGAAAAACAGTCAAATGCAGAACAGTCAACCATTTTGGTACTGAACTGCTACACAGTTATTCAAAATGAGTTTCTTCTGCTGTGCTATAACTGGGAGCCCGTGTCCTATTTCATTTTACTTAAGTGAGGAAAACCTCAGCTTCGTACTCAAATAAGAGGACAGTGACAAAATTCCTGTGGGAAAACAAAGCAAAAACGGGCACATCTGAAGCTACCAATATTTCTGAGAGAGAAATAAAGCACAGGAACACTGAACATGCACAGAAGGAGAAAAAAACTCATCGATTCCAAGAAAGATTTTTCCCCAGCAACTCCAAGAGCCTTCCAAACCTTATTCAACTCCAAAAGTCCTGCAGCTCCATTGCTCTGGGCAAATGACAATTCCGTTACATCTACACCAATGCCGTGGATTTGAAAAGAAACAAAAAGAACAAAACTTTCCCTCAGCCATTTAAACAACTGGTACTTCGGTTCGCTTGGAAAAAAGCCACAACATTAACTGTGCAGGGCTATAAAGCAAGCCTGCACAAACATCAAATATTTAAGATTTACTCCAAGTGACCGAATCAATATTCAGATTTTAACGTGCCTTCGGTACAACCACAAGTGATCGCTTTTGGCTGTGCGTTTTCAGAGGCACTTTAAGGCCTATTTTTAAGCAACCCACTGCCCAGAGGCAGCAGCTAACAACGCCGCAGCGCCGTACCTTCAGCACTACCGATGTGACGGAACGCTTTAAAGCTCCGCTCCCTTTTCTTCCTTGTCATTACCCCTGCACACTGCACGCTGCGCTCCCAGCAACAAGCTCTACCCTATTTCTCCTTCATACCGCAGGAAAGTTATGCGAAGACGGAAATAAGACGCTTTGATCGGGGTTTCTTCAAGCGCGGAAAGCGGACATCCACAGCATGAAACACCTCGTATTTACCGAGTACTTCGCAATAATTTCTCAGCGGTGACGATACGCACAGCACCGAGCGCAGGACCTATTTTTTTTCGTCCCACTTTACCACTCCCGAAGGATGCAATTAAAAACCTCGAGCCCGGACCGTCAGCCACAAGGAAACAAAAGCACCTGGCGGCACCGCTCGCAGCTCCTCACGCGCTTCCTGTTGCGCTCGCCGACATCCCTCGCTCCCCCTCCGGCTGCGAGGCTCCGGCGCTGACAGCGGACGGACGGCAGCCGAAAGCCGGCCCGCTGCCCGCCCGCCGGCCCAAGGCCGCGGCCCTGCGCGACCGCGCACGGCCGCCTCCTCCCTCGGCGGCGAACGGCGCCGTGGGCCCCAGCGCGGACCCGAGGGCGGCACCCACCGGCCCTCCTCCGCCGCAGGGCGCAGGGCCGCGGCAGGCCCGCTCCGCCCGCCGGCCTTTTGTTTAGGGCCGGCGCCTACCGCCCGGCCAGATCTCGGCTCCCGCCCCGGCCCCGATCCCGCTGTCAGCGCGGACGCTGGCCGTCCCCCCCACCCCCCTTCGGGGACTCACCCGCCGGGCCGGGCCGGCTCGCGCCGCTCCGCCGCCACCTGCCGCCGCCTCCGCGGGACGCGCCAACGTCACGCGCGGAACAGAGCGGGGGAGGCCGCACCACCGTGACGCCGCGGATCGGGAGGAGCCACAACCGGCTCCGCCGCTGAGGGGGGCGCGCTCGGGTGACGCCATGGCGCCGCGCCGCCACACCCCGCCCTCGCCGTGCTGCCATGGCGACGGGGCCTGCAGCGCACCCTCACCGCAGCTTGTGGGGGTTCGGCGTCCCCATCGAGCGCAGATTATAGGAAAATAAAGCGCCCTGGATAAGGGGTTCTTAGTAATACATAAATCCGCGCCTGTGTTTCAGAATCTGACAGTTTAGTTCGACTGAGAAAGTGCAGTAGTGAACGCACGGTTTCTTTTTACTCTCCGTGAAGAGATGGTTAAAGGCAGGTTGTGCTGTAGCTGGTAACCTAAGATACCTACAATAACATCAGCCCTCATTGCCAGCTTTCATTTCAGCCCGAACACATGTTGTGTGCACGTCTCTTTCTGTACTAGCTCCTGTGCCACCAGCACGTTTACCCTGGTCCAGCACTGGTTTCTGTAACATGTGTTAGCTCTACCTGTCTATTGTAACTGAAAGCACCTCCACTCTGTCTTTCTGCCTCTGCTTCCTTCACAGCTCTGTGCTCTCCTTTGTTTCTCTTTGTTACTGTTGCCTACAGTGTCGTCAATCTGGAATTCGTGTCTGATGCTTGCCACTACATTATTAATGCACACAGTGGCTTGAAAAGTAAAGATTCACCAGACAAGAGGACACCTCCTCCCTTAGTGAGAGTCTGCACCCCCACCATTAATATTTTGCTGATGCTTTGGCAATTGAGAGCTATTAATCATGTTTCAGTCTTTCTATTTATGAAGAGTTTTTTTTCTGCTTCTTTAGATGTGTGCAATACTATGTAAACCTTTGCAAATATGCAGGTATCCTATGAGCTCAACTGTTGATGCAAGTGACAGCTGGGGAAAGATGGGAAAAAACAAGTCTCCTGCTGTGGTTTGAGTCTGTATCAAAACAGATTTTGGGGAAGCTCCAAGCTTCTCCAAGTCACAATAACAGCAAAAGAGTGGGTGATATGTAAATCACAGAATCACACAATGGCTTGGGTTGGAAGAGACTTCAAAGCCCACACAGTCCCAGCCCCTTGCCCCTTGCCACCTACCAGATCAGGCTGCCCAAGGCCCCATCCAACCTGGCCTTGAGCACCTCTGGGGGTGGAGCAGGGACAGGGTATGGAATCATTACCACTTTTCCTCACACCTACAACTTCAGCAACCCTTCTGCACAGAACAAGAAGCTGTGAAGGCACCAACATGGCACTAGACTTACAGCTGTGCCCCTGGCTCCTCCGTGCAGGCAGCCAGTGGAGAGACTGGGGAGTTTCAAACTGAAAACATATTAAAAAGCAAAAATCCTGACAGTGTTTTGATGACACATTTGTTCCATGAAACCCTGTTGCTTATAGCTCACTGTGTTCCTATCCTCTAAGCTGTTGCAGAGCTTCCCCCACGCACCTCTAACATTTTCATTAAAGTGATATGTTGTTACCATCACAGAGGGCTGGCTTAGATATGGAAAATCTCCAAAATTCTTTCTTTTTAGAAATTAGATATGTTGTTTCTACAGGGCTCTACACAAGCTTGTCCCTGATGCTACAGGTGTTTGAAGTACCATGTGGCCTGGCATCTGGTCCTGTGCTGTGCAGCTAGTGTCAGGCCATTGGTCCCTGTCCCTGGCAGCACTGGCTCTCAGGAGCAGTCACTGGTGAGCACTGTCACAGCAGTATGATGGACCAGCATGATGATCACTGAGACAAATGTAACTCTGCATCAAGTCCCCACAAGTGCAGTTGTTTGGGTGAAGTGCGAGGCCTGGCTGGCTGTGAGGTGATCAATGGCCCTCCAAAGCCTAGGCATGGGCTTACAACTTGGTTTTCATTTTGACCAGTTGGAAACTATTGACGTGTGTCAGCAGTTTCCACTTACTGGTCTTGCTGTACTGTAGCTAAGCTGATTTCTAGTCACTATTTGTAGATTCTGAATAAAATGCTAAGGCTTGAATTGACGTATCAAGTTCTGTACCTTGTATAATTTCTGTATTTTTCTTACATAATTTAGATATGTAGCAATGTCTGCCAAATAGACTGTTATTTAACAGTTTTGGAAGGATTGTGCTGTTTAGTCATGGGAACAATCCCATTTTGCTTTAAAAACAGAAAGTTGAATGATGCTGAGGAGGAGAAGTGTGAGAAGAGGAGGTGAGGGTGAGTTCTTTTTCTCATTTCTCCTAACCTGTGACTCTCACTGGACCTGTATCCATTCTGTTTGTGAACTCACAGGGAGAGGTCTGTATTGTTTTGCTTTCATTTAGAGGCAGTAAAAAATTCCGCACAGCACACACACAGACTTACTTTATTACTCCAGTTGGCAGGCAAGGTAAAATGTTCTTCCACCAGTAAGTAAACGTTGACTTTTTCTATAACCCCATCTGTCAGAACCATATCACAGTGTATGTTGCTGCTGAATTGAAGTCATCCATATGGCAAAGCAGACAAGCAGAAGGAAAAAAAAAAGAAAAACAACAAAAAGTCCCAACTACTGCCTTATAATATAGTGTACTTAAATCCTTTATTTTCCTTACAGCAGTTTTCCAGGATTAAAACCTACTTCAACAGCTTTATCACTGACCTGAATGGACAAATTCAGTAAGTTTCTTGACAATATGTGCTGCCATTCAGTGAGACCTGGACAGTCTGGAGAGTTGAGCAGAGAGGAACCTGATGAGGTTTGACAGGGACAAGTGCAGAGTCCTACACCTGGGGAGGAATAACTGCACGCATCAGTAAAGGTTAGGGACTGGCCTGCTGGAAAGTAGCACTGCAGAGAAAAACCTGGGTGTCCTACAGATTGTCCTACAGACAAAAGGTTAGCCATGAGCCAGCTGTGTGCCCTTGTGGCCAAGAAGGCCAAGGTTTTCCTGGAGTGCATTAAAAAGGGTGTGGCCAGCATGTCATCAGAGGTGCTCCTTTCACTCTGCTCTGCCCTGGTGAGGCCACATCTGGAGTACTGTGTCCAGTTCTGGGCTCCCCATTTCAAGAAAGACAGGGATCTCCTAGAGGGCATCCAGGAGAGGGCCACAAAGATGATGGGGGGCCTGGAGCATCTCTCTTATGAGGAGAGGCTGAGAGACCCAGGACTGTTCAGTCTGGGGAGTAGAAGACTGAGGGGGAGTCTTATCAACACTTATAAAAATCTAAAGGATGGGAGTCAAGTGGATGGTGCCAAGGTCTTTTTGTTGGTGCCCAGCAACAGAATAAGGACATAAGCTGGAACATGGGAATTTCCCATATGAACATGAGGAAAAGCTTTCCTGTGAGGGTGACAGAGCACTGGAACAGGCTGCCCAGTGAAGCAATGAAGACTCCTTCTCCAGAGATAAGCAAAACCCTCAATAAGTTCTGTGATTCTGTGCTTCTGTGATTTTTCCAATAGTGAATCTTGTGTCCTAGACTCTAGACCTCTAAAATCTCTTTCTTCTTAACTTCCTTCCCACTAAAAAAGAATATAGTATTAAAAAAACATGATCTTCATAATAATGAAGTTTTGAAAAAATGAGCAGGTTTAGGTTCTAGATTTTTTAATTTTGTCCCCTGTGTTTTACATCTTTTTAATGAATATTTATTTAGCTATAAGGCAGATTGTATTTTAACTGTACTTGAAGTTGAGTTTGTGCTTTGATAACACATTTTCAGAAATCACATCTTCTTGCAAACTGGATGGAGTCACAAGATTTTGATGAAAAACTATTGGAGCTAGCACTGTTATGCCTACATTTTATTTTAATGGAAAGAAAGCAAAATATCACAAATGTGCTGTAGTGATCATCATCTTTCATTTAAGGAATAATGAAATAGAAATTGCAGTTTCCTTTTGTATCACTAGATGGTATATGGTAACTGTAGGGAAACTGTGCTCTTCAAAACAGTGTTGATTGAATACAGGTATTTCTCTCCCAGTCCAGCTAATGCACTGAGCAGACTCTTGGATTGCAGTGTAAATGCATACAAAACCATTCCTTTCTTAGTGGCATGAACTCTGAGCTGACAGGATTTAATTGAGAATTTGAGGCATCCTTAGTACTTACGGGATGCAAAAACACTATTTTAATATTAAAAAAGAATAAAGTTAAAGGCTCATCATGATACCCACGCAGTTCCAACACAGTACTTACACTAGCCTCTTATTTATGCTTGTAAGTAGCCTCTTTCAATCCAGCAGGGTAGATTGCCCAGTGGATGTCTGTGTGCTTCACTGCTGCTGCCTTGCAATCCCCTTACACTGGTCCAGGCCACATACAAAGATTTCTATGTCCTCTCCTTCCTACAAAAGAGGACAAGAGATTATCTGAAAGCAAGAGAGTGTTTTTAAATCTTACATGGATCTTCCCCAGGGGAGGAGAAGGACAAAATGACATTCTGGTTGAATTCTCTGACGAATTAGTTTAAAAATATCATGAGCAGGCTCCCCC